AAAAAGAATTAGAGTTCAGAGAGAGAAGTGATTTTTGTAAAGGAGTAAAGGAGCAAAATAACTGCAGAAGGACGTATTACATATAAAGGGGGCCTCAGGAGCCCTTATGCTAATTGGCTCCACTGATTTTATAATCATTAAAATGGCTGTTGACCTAAAGGCAGTACCACTCCTTCATATGCATGGAATTTGGGGGCCTTAGTGTCCCTTGGGCTCTGAAGTATTTTTCACTTACTTCCAGGTTCCTGGTTGTGGTTGTTGGAAGTCGCCTGCCAGATTAGAGGGGGTTACTGTAACATCATAAATCATAGTTATGAGCAAAAAAGTGTTACCCACCTTTTAATACTCTTCTTAAGAACCAGATGTTTTCTAGAGAAATGCTTGACTCTACAGTCTGCCTTACAGTGCACATAAATGAGTCTGGCACACTGCCCGTAAAAGCAACTTGATCCCATAAATGAGGAAGGCTGAGTAATGAGCAGGTTCTAAATGACTTCCTTCCGAGTGGTATAACCTTAGAATCTATGGCAATCTTTAAACCAGGCTGTTTTCAAATAGTGTGTATGTTATTTTTATATTTCTTCAAACAGATTCTTTTGGCAATGTAAAATAAACTGTTTTAAAAAAAAAACAAGTGTATTTTAGGAAGGTAATTATTTCAGTTTCCGCCAAAAGCAGGCTAGTTTTATTTTTAATGGGTAAATGATGTAAGAACCTGAAAAACAAAAACAAAAACAAAAACAAAAAAACAAAACCACTTGAAACACTAAGAATAGGGCTGTGAAGTATTAGGTAGTATCCTCACTTATAATGGGCAGTAAGTCCTGTTTCACAGGTAGAGAGTAAACTTTCTGAAAAACACACTAAGCTTAAGAACTGTTGGAGGGGGAGAATGTGCTAAAAATGCTAGGCAGTTACATAAATGCTCTTTTCAAACAGTTTAAATACTTGAAGTTGCTCTAGTCACTGAATGAAAACTCCAACATACACTTTCTTGAAAAATTAATGTGAAAAATTGGCTAGAAACTTAAGTCACACATTGCAGAGGCTAGTTTGAGGGGGATACAGGGATTGGGGAAAGACCCAGATACTGAGAACACCCAAGAGCAAAGTTAAAATGATGGAACACATACCACACAAAGAGGCCAGGGGAAGACACAGAACCAGGGAGATGTGTGTGATCTTGATGGCACTTCTCTGTGCTAACCACTAACTCTGCTGTCTCAGGAACTGCGGTATCTGTATGTGTTAGGTCACGGCTGTTTGCACAGATTTCTTAAAAATGTAAATGTTTTAGTTCCAATAAAATTGCTTTTTTCCACAAAAAGAAAAAAAAAAACTTTTTTTTAGACTTTTTCATTTGGACATCATTTCAGACTTAAAGAAGTTTTGTAAATAAGAAAAGTACAAAAAGCACCCACATGCCACTTACCCAGATACTGCTAATACTTTAACTGATTTGCTTTATCATTTATGTCTTCTGTGTATATACAGATTTTTGTATATAAATGTATATACAGATATACACACCTATACATACCATGTTTTTTCTGAACATTTTGAGAGTAAGTTGCATACATCGTACATGCCTCTGTACTCCTCAGTACTTCACTGTGTATTTCCTGAGACTAGGGATATTCTCCGATACAATCACATTTCAGTCATGAACTTGAATAAGTTCAGCATCGATCCTATACTTCTAATCTGCCACTCCTTACTGCCAATTGATCCAATAATGTCCTTTATAGCATCTTTTTCCTCCAGTTGGGTTCCATTCTGGGATTGGGCATTACACTGACTTGTTATGTCTCTTTAGTCCTGTTTAACCTAGAGCATTTCCACAGCCTTCCTCTCTTCTTTATACAACAGCCATTTTTGAAGAATACAGTCCTCTGTCCCCCTTTGTTTTTTTTAGTAGGGTGTTCCTTTGTTTTGGGTTTGTTTGGTATTTCCTTAAAACTCAACTTGAATTGAGCATTTCTGACCGTAATACTATGTAAGTGATGTGGTGTCCTCATGGTATCACATCTAGAAGCACATTATGTCCATCTGCCCTCATTGGTGACATTAATCCTAATTACAGAAGTCAAATTTTCATATTATATAGTTATTTTTTCCCTTGCCCTATTAACCAATCTGTAAGGAAACACTTAGAGCATACAAATATTCTGCTCCTTTAAAAATTTTCCCTAGATTAGCATGATTCTTGCCTGATTTAATTTTCACCATGATGATTATAAATGATCATATTCTTATGTCAGCACTTTCTCCAAATGTTCGAACCAGTCAGCCCTTAGCATTTAACTATTAGCAAGAGCCCCTCTTTTGATTATTATTTCTTTACTTTTTACATATCTAATTCATCTATTTAATATCATGTGTTCATGAATTCCTATTTTTTCCAACGGTTCATAATTCACTAATGCCTTTATTTTGGTGCTCAGATGGTTTCAGATTTGGCCAGCAGGAGCAACTTCAAGTTGGCTCCTTTGGCATCCCTTTTTTTTTTTTTAAAGCACTTTCCTACTTTTTAGCATAACAAAATATCCCAGGTTCAACTTCTAATGACCCTGCCCCAGCCCTGGAATCAGCCAGTTCTCCAGGGAGCCTTGGCTCCCTTTAGTGGGACAGTGGCATTGGAGATCAGTATCTTAGTGCTAAGTGTGCTCACTGCCACTAGGGTGAATTGCTTCTAAACTCTTTCAACAAACAGAAGACATACGCACATATGTGCACTCACATACATATTTATGTGTATGTGTGTGCACGCACACGTATACATATATACAGAGGTATAAATACACACATACTGAAATTTGTTTTAGGAATCACAAAATTACACTGGTTCATTCAATTCAATTTATCGCCATAAGTTTCTTTCTTATGTTCCTGCAGTTTTCATCTGTATGCCCCTTTCACAGTGAGACCCTGAGTCCCAGCAATGTCAACATATTGGTTCATCAATCCTATAATCCATCTAAAATAGTTTCAAAATTGCTTCACCACTCATAACAAAAAACCCTACCAAAAAGAACTCAGGATTTGTCTCCCCACTTCTCCCAGCACCACCAATTTTGATTGATTTTTAATGTTGATAAATTAAACGTATTTTAAAATGTTACCATTAGCATTTCCCAATGATATGAGGTATTTTAAAAATCAAACTAAATAATTTATTGCTGACAGGAGGGTGTGCTCTGCTCCTTAGACCAGCTTTGCAATTTCCTTCCAAATAGGCATCTACTTGCAAAATAAGTACCATCCACTCCCACACCAACCAGTGTCATATTAATGATGTAGTGGCAGGGAGAAGAGTAGGAGACTCTGGAGCTTAAGCAAAACATCATGTGCTGATTGAGAGTTGAGTTTTTTTTTTAAGTATGTAGTAGATACATATCATAAATGGATTTTTTTGTTCGCCTTTACGTATTTTCAGACCTTCTGCTGTGATAGTTTACATGGTGGTTATAAACGTCTCTAAAAATACAGTTAAGAAAATTTTCTTCTTAGATTATTCAAAATACTAATTTCTGGTTTATAACAACTAACAGCATTTTCCCCTCAACCTGCTTTTTCAAACTGCTGCCTTTTTCGTTGAGTAAATCCTGGTCTTTACTTGAAAAAGTCAGATTTATTTCCTTTCATCTTTATTTTTGTATTTATGTTTTATATCTATTTTCTGGAGTCCTACGGCCTCATAAAATGATTTTGAATAGCAGAGATGATGGGGAGGTCAGCTATGTTAATTTCAAAGCGCCCCAGTCTTCGGTGTGAGGTTGCCTAGCAACCCCCTCAGGCCTCCTTTGT